ATTATTTCTTTTTATTCACTTCTTCCTTTTCTTTCTTTTCCCTTCCCTCCCTTCTCTTCCCTTTACTAACTTTTATTAAAAAAATGCCAAAGCTCCTGTCTAGAGTTACCAATTTTTATAATGAGAAATTGATTTGCAACCAATAGTGTTTAGTTTTTAATAAACATGGTTAGTAAAATGACATCATTTTAGTGTTAAAAGTCTCAATCACCTGTTTTCCTCCATTTTTCCTTTTCGTTATTTGTCAATTTTGATCCCTCAACTTTATAGTTTTACACAATTTTCATCCTCAATTTTTTTATACTTTTTTAATCCTTCAACTCCAAAATTTACATAATTTTGGTTCCTCCATCAGTTAAGTCACACTTGACTGTTAAAATATTCTAAAATGACACCTTTTTTATAATGTGTAATAACACATCATGTAATTAGTCTACATGTACAAAAAATGCCAACTCAATTGTGACAACATTCACTAAATAATTTACAAATTAATAGACAAAAGTACAATTCTACCCCCACTTTCATCCTCTTCGTGGTTCTCCTTCTCTTTCACTATTCACCTTCTTGTCACCTCTACCATTGTCTATCTCCCCCTCCCTATCCTTTCTTTAGCCACTCACTTCCACCCTTTTCCTTTCCCAATCATTTGATCCCTTCCTTTCCTTCTCTTTTTTAAAATCCAAAATCACTAGATTTGAAAAAAAAAAAAAAAAAAAAACCATTTTTGGGTTCAATCAATAAGATTTGGTTTCAAAAAACCCATATTTACGTGTCATAAACCTAGATTTTTTTGAGGATTTTGTTATTGTTTTTGATAGATTTTGATTGTTGTTTCATCTTCAATGATTATGTATGTTTTTCATGGTGTTTGTGCAATTAATTAAAAAGATGTGTTTTGTATTTTCAAGTAATTATATAGAGAGAAACAGATGGAGGAAGGAGGGGTAGAAGAAAGATGGAAGGACAGAATGTTAGAATATTGAATAAAGGAGGATGAAAGAGGCGCACCCAAATCATTTGGTTTTGCAAGAACCCTTTGCTAGTTTCGTAAGAACCCTTTGCTAGTTTTGTAAGAACTCTTTGCTAGTTTCATAAGAGCCCTTGCTAGACTCCTCATGACCTCATGAACCTAGATCTAGGTTCATAGGTTCACAAGGAACCCAAAGCATTTGGGTTCGTAAGGAACCCAAAGCATTTGGGTTCGTAAGGAACCCAAAGCATTTGGGTTCGTAAGGAACCCAAATCACCTAGGTTTGCAATCAATTCATTGTTGGGTTCCTCACAAACCCAATTATG